TATATATATATATATGTATATATGTATATATATGTATTATTATTATTATTATTATTATTATTGGAAATTGAGAAGATACAGTAGAATTAGATAGAATAATCTATTAAAAAAGCAGTCCAGTCTAGTAATGGCACAAAGGTGATTATTAAAATTGTGCATGCTGTGTGCTGTACTTGACAGATCAATGTTTTAAATGTATATAATTATGCAAATATGCAATATGCATTAACCCTGGGTTTAGAAACACACAGTGAGAAATATGTCAATCTGACTGCCCAGAATTAATTACTGACTAGAAATGTATGAAGAGTGTGAAATAAAACACCAAGGTAATGTATGTTAAGTGTGAAAAGTCCATAAGAATCATTCTATATATAAATGTTGTGCACATCGTAGTCTGCAGAACATGGAGAAAATAACATTTGGATGACATGCAAGCAAACAACAGGCATGAAAAATAAAATGTCAGAATGTTCCTTTCTCTGGCAGTAAAAGGCATAAAGTGTAAAATCCTCATTGTTATTTCTCTCTCTCGTCTCATGCAGTCAAGGACGGTGCACATTTTCTTGTGGTAATGAGATATGACCTGTATGGTGTATTAGCATCTCCCTGTAATGGTGGTTTGAGGATGTGTGTTTTCAAGCCATCTTTGAATGAACCTTCACTGTCCATGCGTGACGGAGAGGCCATAACTCTCGCCATCATGCAAATGCTGCAAATCTCATTGGTTAATGTGAGATCCTCGGTTTCACACGAATGTTTTTTACATCAGCATTTATCATTGCTATAAATAAATAATTAAAATACATAAGAGAAAACAAGAGAAAAGTCTCATAAATAATCCCTGGCCTCTTTTTTTTAGTCTACGTTGAAGGATAACACATTTAAACTTTTTTTTTTTTTGTTCCCCCGATTTTAATATGCACTTCCCATAAAAAAACAGCATTTCATTTCCATAGAAGAATTTATACTACAGCATTAGCATAAAAATAAAATGGCATTGCAGTTTGAGAATCAGCATTAGCGTTATGGAAAAATAAGCAAGGTCACTGTTATCTCCTTAGTTTCGTGCCTAACTGTTATAATGATGCATCTGATCATTATCATATTTGTGTAAAGCATTTGTCTCATGAGACGTTGCAGGGAAAATGGTTCTTAAAGGCATATTCTTCACAATAGACACCCTGGTGTTGCATTAACAGGATTTCGGGATGAGGTTTTGTGTTTTGCTGAGAAGATTTTTGTGTTTCCTGTATTCCTCCCTAGTTAACATGATGAAAGCTATTAAAAACAGAAATTATTTTTAGAGTGCTTATGCGCTTATGCCTTTTTTCAGCAAGTAGATGGAATCTGGATGGTGTATTGCTATATATATATATATATATATATATATTTGTTAATCTATTTCTAATTTTTATTATTATTATTCACTTATTTTCCCAATCAAAATATATGGCTGCTTTTTCAACTGCTCTTAATTGGGAAATATTTTTTGGCATCTTATAGCTAACCCAACCAATGCTAACCAGTAAACCTTGACCCCTTTGCCACAAAACCAAAACAGCAGAACCACAACTAACTATCCAGAACCAAAACTCAAATCTTATGGTTACATAAAATGTGAACTCTAATTTTGGCTGCCTTGCACACTCTAGTATTTCTTTTAGGAAATGCAAATGTGTTTTAATTTCACATTCATGCTTGGAAAGCATGTCACTTGAGGATTTGTTAATCATGTCCAACTAATGCTTCTCTGCTGCAGTTTTTCTCCTTGCACTTTCCTCCTGTAGTTCTTTCTTTCTTTCTTTTTATAATCTTTAGGTTGTGTCAGGTCTGTTATCTAAAGCTGTGATTCACTTTCATTTCACTTGGAATATTATTATAAATCATTACATATACCCAAAAGCACTCATAAATCTCACTAAAAATGACCTGTTTGCTGTCTGCAGGGTGATTGACCATTTAGAGAAAGCATATGAACGAAATTAACTTGAATAGTTTTTTTATATTATATATTCCTCTCTGTATTTCCACACTGATCTGTCATCAAGCTGGGCGACATGATGTTATAGAAATGGTGCCTAGATTTATTGAGTGTTATACAATTTGAAGCTGTTATTGCTATCAAATTATTATATTTAATTATTTTGTTAATTATTATTATTATGTATTTTTATATGTACAATTACTCATACTGTTGTATAAGCTTTTGGTCAATATAATAAAAAATACTTGTTATAAAATTGAAAATATATCCTTTTAGGCTGAGGTTAAGTCAAATAGTCCTGCCATACAGTAAGTCTCGCCACACATGGAGTTGGCCGGGTTTCACGACCCAGTCATGTATAGCAATACAAGCTAATGCCACAGCCATGATGTAGAGGGGTGAAAGACGGAAAGGTTCATGCAGTATTCATGCTCTCTCTTCTATATTTAGGTATTTTATCGAGCAGAGAGAAGACAAAGAGGTGTATTTCGATATCGAATCCATCAGCGGAGTCATTAGAACCACTCAGCTGCTGGACCGTGAGGATACGCCCTGGCACAACATCACTGTCATGGCAACAGAGGAAGGTGGGTACCAGAAACCATGCTGGCTGAGCTTTAATAACTCGCAAATTAGTTTGCCTAGAAAGTCTTGGCAATAAACGGCTCTTGCACTCACGAGAAACGGACTGCCGTTCGCTTTCTCTCTTTGAAAATCGCTCACCCTCCTGCTGCTGTGAAAGCAACTCTGTAGGCCTGTTAATAGTCAAAGATCGCACCTCTAAGCACATAAGGAATAGTTAGCTCAGAAATGAAAGTTGTGGTTATTTACTCACCCCTAGTGTTGTTCCAAACCCATGTGACTTACTTACTTCTGTGGAAAGAGAAAAATTAATTGCTGTTGTTTTTTTTTTTGTTTTTGTTTTTTTTTCCCCCAAGCAATTAAAATTAATGGGGCCAAAAGCTTTCAAGCTTCAAAATGGATCCAGAAGCACTGTAAAATATCATTAAAGTAATCTAATTGACTTGTGTGCTATATTCTGCAGCTATACAGTCTCAATATAGTTGTAGATGTTGTTCACTCACAATGTTCCCCTCCAGTGAGCTGTTAATTGCTGTATCCAGATCATTGATGGTTGAATTTGAGAACCAGTTCATTCTGTTTTATGATTAAATCTTTCAGATCTCGTTTTTTTAACCAGATTCATTGAAAGATGCGACTGTAACAACGTTCGTAGTCACGGGAAGAAGGAGGCGGGAACCGACGAACATTTCAAACTTTAATAAAATAAACAAACACAAAACGAAAGTAAAGCGGCAGCCCCTCGCGGACGACTGCCGCACACAAAACATAAAATAAAGTCCAGGCCTGGTCCTCTCTCCTCTTTCACTGTCGTCACTCCTCCTTTTATCCTTCCGGAGCTCCTCCGTGGGACTCGAGACCGGTGAGTGGTGCAGGTGTCGCTCATTATCAATTACTCCACCGGCCTCGCTCCGTTCCCACGGCTCTCGGCCCCGCCCCCACTCGTCACAGCGACTTAAAAGAATTATTCATTCACAGACTGGACATTGGTACTGTATTGAACATGCTAGATGTGAATATTTAAAGCCCCTCCTGTGGTCAACATTAATGTTTAATGTTGTTATCATGTCTAGCTGGTGTTTTTAATATGCTTAAAGACAAACAATGTGCAAATTCATCAGTCAACATGAACATGTCCCTAAAACTGCAGTTTACCAAAGACAGTCTCAAAAAAGCAGTTTGAAACCTATTTCCCAAGTAGGAAATAAGTTCCACGTCTGTCAACATGTGGGGCGGGGCTTTGCATATCATTAGTGAACAGGAGCATAGTTTGTGTAACATTAGCAATACATTATTAGCTGTTTGATAGTGCAGTCAAGCCAAAGGTTAATTATATCATGTCTGACATTATAGAGAGTGATACATCAAATGCATTACCATTCTGATATGTGGACTAGTAGACGCCCCTGTATAATACGCTCTTCCTCTTCTTCATCATCAGTCAGTTTCTGGTTCAAACATCTGTTGTATTGGTATCAGTGATACTGGCCTTCAGTCATAAAAAGTTGCCATTATACAAATATTAAAAATATACTGTCTTTGTGTTGTTTCTACATTAATTTAAGGATTGAATGTGAAATTATTGCAATAAAAAACAATTATTAAAATTGTAATGTTAGGTGGAATTAATCGCGATTAATTTCAGAACAAATGTGCAATTCATTATTATTTTTTAATCGATTGACAGCACTTCAAAAAGACAAAATCGCCTTTTGTGTTGGCAGAAGAAGATACAAAATGAGGGTGAGGAAATGACAGCAGACTTGACATTTTTGAGTGAAATAGCCCTTTAACAAAGCCACTCATGCAAGAGAACAAAAACAGGGAAAGATTGGTAGTATATAATCTCCCAGATGATAAAAATCACAGGCGGTAATGTAAATGGAGTCATGTGACTCTCCTGCTGCAGATTTTATCAGAGTAATTACCCTTACACCCAGCACCAATGACACACATTCAGTCTTCTATATGATAATCATATTCCACATTTCCACATATCCAGCATGTGAATGAAAAATCACACATCGCTTTAATATCACACTTATTTTCCCTAGACAGCAATGAGATCAAATGGAGACTTTGTATAAGTCTGCTGCTCAGAGATATGCATTCATCTCCTGGAGAGCCTCAGAAGACATCTGAACTGTCTCAAACTGTGCTCAGATCTGTGTTCATCAACATTTCAAATCCAGTTCATGTATGCATTCAGCAGACGCTCTTCAAGGTTTTCTGTGCGTTCAAGGTATATTTTATAACCACATTATACTATATACTATACTTTCTGTGAACAATTGTCTCATTTGTGTCTTTTGAATTTGATATTGAACATTTCTGAAAATCACAATCAAATCTGAGCTATGAAAGTGCAATAAAATATGTGTAAACACAAAACAAATATCCCTAAAGGTAAATACGCAAAATGACAGAACACTAAATCACATTTCTGATGTTGTTTTGATGCGTTTGTGTTTAACATTGTTGTATGCAATCAAAGATACATTGAAGGGAGTCGATTTTTTTTTTACTAATGGTGTGTTTGTTGCCATGGCGATGGCTTTGCCGTTAAAGGCTTCATTCTGAGAAATGTTCATTTGTGGTCCCGCTGTGGGTGTGAATTCATGTTAGAGTGCTCGTTAGTGAGGATGACGAGGGAGAGGAACTCACTTGGCCTGGATGCTTATAAGACTTCTCAGCAATTATATTGCATTTATTGCATTTAACAGTAGCTGTGCTATTGACACATATCATGTTATTTTATTAGATATGTCTAGTTGTGGTGCATGAATGTTTTGCATTATAAAACTGATAAATCTGGCCTTTTTTGCCAGATCTTAGACAACCTACGCTCTGCGCACATCACAATAGAGCACAACAGTGAGAGACAACTTGTTTTGGTTCAAAATTTCTTAAAGACACTACCAAACCAGCTCTAAGATGAATCACAACCTTATAACCTTTGATTTGAAGCTAAAAACGTTCATCTGCGGCCACGTACACACTGTAGAATTTCAGGAGTGACAACCGCATTTAAATAACTGCAGTGACCCTGCTGAAAAATTTTAACTAAACCACTGTCAACAGAGCCATCGTGTTTTGTTCATGTTTTGAAGGCAGCTTCGCAGAGCGCACTTTTGAAGTGTTGCCATGTCCTCTTATTATAAGCTCATAAAAACATTAAGTTATGGAGTTAACATAAAGCTAACATAAAGTTAAGTTAATAAAGTAGGCAATGGCAGATTGTGATGTTATGGTATGTGGGTTATTTCCAAAGATAAATCATTTTGGAAGTTGTTTATTGGCTTGTTCTTATTTGCATTTTTTTTTTTTTATCTGACAACACAAATGAGTCAAGACATACCTTGCATACCACACATACAGAAGAGAGACACAATGTGTTTAGATACATCATTAACAGCTAATTGTTCAGTTCAGTATCCTAGTTTGACAGTGCAAATAAATTTACTCGATTACATCATTTAGGCTGATGATACACTGGGCAACTTTTTGAGGAATGTTTCCGGGCAACTTTTGGCAATGTTGCCGTCATTGGGCAACCAGGTGAGACACAGGGCCCACGACCGATCTAAAGTATCCAGATAGACATTTGTTACCCATCCTCAATAGGAAAGTGCCCAAGCAACATTGCTCAAAAGAAGTTGCCCATGCAGGCAAAATTGCTCAAAAAGTTGCCCCGTGTATCATCAGCCTCACAGTGCTTTATGGAAGAAGTGGGTGGTCACTGCTAAGCTCTTTTCTTTTTTCTTTTAAATTAAAAGTTTCAAAAAGTTTTTCTGAGATCACAAATTTGAAATGTCACATTGTTGTGGTTTCTACAGAGGGAGATACTTTTAAATAGGCTTTGAGCTCATGGAAGGTTTGTCTTTATTTATTTAGGGGGGATTATTATTATTATTATTATTATTATTATTATTATTCTCTCTATACACCAAAATAGCAATACCTTCCTGGAAAACATCCTGACTGAATATTAAATCAGTTTATATGTATAGTCTTTTTGTTCGCCTCTATTCATGTTTACTAAAGTTTTTTCAGTGTGGAAAATTCCCAGAGGGAATAACGAGGTGTTATTCATCAGAAACCCCACTGCTGTCCATTTGATCATTTTTCCCTGTTTTTCTTCTTTTAATGAGCTCACACAGTTTAGCTGTCGATACAGGGCAACTGAGCTCTCTATCTATCTATCTATCTATCTATCTATCTATCTATCTATATGTATATGTATCTGACTATCTGACTATCTGTCTATCTGTCTATCTGTCTATATATCTGGCTATCTATCTATCTATCTGTCTGTCTGTCTGTCTGTCTGTCTGTGCATGCTTTGCTTTGGTAAGAACTTGCAAAAAAGGTTGGAGTTTTTTTTTTTTTCTTTCTTTTTTTCTTTTTTGTAATATCAGTTAATTAATTTAAAATATGTGATATGTGAGTCTAAAATATGCAAAGTAATTTCAAAAGACCCTAACTGAATGTAATTTATCTTGTTAATTACTCAATGTGTAACTGCACAGAATATTTTGATGTCCTTCTTGTGGACCTCTTTTTAAATGTATGAGCATTATAATGCCTTGTTAATTTCTGCGTTTTTGCATTTATAGTGTTTTGATTCAAATTAATTTAATCAGTATGGGTCTGACTCTCTGAGAATTGCTATTAGATGATTTAGCCAATTTGTAAACAAAATTAGCCGGATCCCACCCAGGGATCAAGGAGTGCATGCAAATTGACTTTCCTCTAAGAATTTACAGTTCAGATGTGTGTTCTTTTGAGACAGACTTGATAGAAAGTTGCTTAACCTGTGTTTGCCAGTCAGGAATTAATTGGTTATTGCCATGCTATTTGTTTATCTGTTTTTTTATGTAATTTGATATTCAGCAAAACTATATTCCAGTTCACTAATGTCCCAGTCCACATGGAACCTGTGGTCAACTATGGTTATCTTGGTTTAGCTTTCTGCAGATTTGTTATTTACAATCAATGAAAACAATGTGGAAAAAGTTTGAACCTTCTAAGAACTATGAGAAGTCATGCTTCTCGTGTGTTATTGTTTCCAAGTGATTTTTGTTGCTTAAGCACTTTAAATGCACCACAGATGGGTTTAATCTATAAATAAAGGGATGGATCGATGAGATGGTGGGTTTATTAATGTTTTAATGGATAGATAAATCTCCATTACCATTATCTTCAGTGCACAAATGCTGCTTGATGTTCCTGAAGAACTTTTCTTGTTGCTCGGATATTTTTTCAGATAAGCTATCTGATATTTTTCCACATGCTGCAATGTTTTGTTTTCAGACAATCCCAGTCTTCAGAGCCACGTGCCTGTTACAGTGCAAGTCCTGGATGTGAACGACAATCCTCCGATGATCAACACAGAAGACGAGATCATCATCTGTGAAAGCACCAGGGCAGGACAGGCAAGTCCCACAATGGTCGAACTGTTTCTCTGTCTCACATTCTCTCTGACACCTACATTCCCTGGCAGAGAAGGCGAGGGAGGCCGAACAGAACCTAACAGTTAAAGTACAGAAACTAACTGCTGTTTTAATCAGTTTACTTCCTAATGAGCATAATTCATATGCATGTAATGCATAAATATGTATTTTTGTGATTAAAAATGCAAGCAGTTACTGTATTAACAAATGATAAGTTGGTCATCTGAAATATTATAATATGGGTTTGATCAATATGGATTTACATATCAGCCTGCACTGAAAATTCCCTTACAAACTGCCATAGTTCCCTGCCATGAATGGTGTAGAGAAAAAAGCGTGAATATTTAGAGGGGCTGAAATAGAAAAATGGAAGGGGGTTATAGGAATGCTAATCATCTCTCAATGAGAATAAAAAATCTGATCAACAAAGCGTGACAGCTCTGATTCACTAAAGCAGACTCCTATTTTCCTACCCACACTTTTCCATTTAATTTTGATAGGCTGTTTTTCACCAGCAGCCCAAAGAAAGAGAAGGATGAGAGCGAGAGAAAATGAAGGACAGATGAGGTTAAGCCTATTTTAATATCCCCTGTGTTCCCAACATAAAACAGTACATCCAATTCCAGAAATTATCCACACTACATTACGGGAGTAGCACATTAAAGTGCTTCTGTGCACTTTTCATGTGTTTTAAGTGGAATGTGTACTTTCTGCACCACTAGAATCATCAAACTGACTTAAAAAATAAAAACCATTTTCAAACAGGTGTTGCAAACTCCTCCCCCTGCCTGCCATTGGTTGAAAAAACAGATGGTCCCGCCCCCAGAGTCACATCATTTGTTGACCTGGTGTTGGTGAGTGGGCTGGTTGAAGATGAACCTGGTTCAAAGAAACAGAGAAATGTTTTGACAGCGCCAGTTTAGACACTGTAAAATCAGCCTACAGATGTTTACTTACAGTTGATTGCATTTAATATGGAATAAGAGAAAGTATTTTAACATAACAGTTTTAACTGTTCTTTGTAAGTTTGGTTTGATAAAGAAGGGAGAATTTAGGACTTAAGTTTATAAGTTTGCTCAGATGTTAAAGCTGAAGCGTGTGCAAGTATATGTTCACATGTTCCTTCAGAAATCATTCTAATATGCTGATTTGCTGCACGCTTATTATCAGTTACACACCAGCAAGTCCACCTCTGAATGGCTCAAGAAAAACAAAATGAAGGTTTTGGAGTGGCCTAGTCAAAGTCCGGACTTAAATCCGATTGAGATGTTTTGGCATGACCTTAAACAGTCCAATATTATAGTTTATATACCAATGGTTTAATGCAGGACTGTCTGTTTCCAGCCTAATTGCAGACTAAGTGTTTTTCTATAAATGATCCTATTTTGAAAAAATAAAAAAATCAATCAATAATAACTTGATAATAATAAAATGATACAGATATCGATATAACAACAACACAATTATTCAAGAAACATTTCCAGTAATATACAAGCATTAACTTTAACAAATGGCATTGTGAATTTGTCAGCCTTTTATTATTTCTGGTTTCACACAAGCGAAAGGCAATCCAATTAAGGTCTCCTTCAGTCTGAACCTCTTCAGTTGGAAGGTATTGCTCTTTGAAGGGAGTAAAGCACATGGATGTGCAACTCACAATGGACCGCACTGGTTTTGATGCACAAAGCACACAGAATCCTACAGCTGCTGAGATGCCAGCAGAGATTTCAAAAGTTCACTCTGAGAAGAGAGCGAGAGGGGGGTGGGGGAGGGAACAGAAAGAATCGAGCAAAACTATGTTCTGAGCTTTTGAACCCTGCTGAATTAAATTTTATTTAGGATGGTGGGTCTTCCGCATGGGAAACTGGTGAATCCATATATACTGTACAATCCAGGCATCTTACTGTAACTACAGTAGAAAAACTTTATCAGTCAAGCATCACCAGAGACCCAAAAGCTAAAGCAAAGCTAACAAAGTTCACTATAAAAAGAAAGTGTTTCTCATGTCTTTTTTTTCGGTTCTGTTGATGGCAGGTCATTCAGACAATCGCGGCTGTGGATAAAGATGATTTTGCCAATGGAAAGGGATTTTCCTTCTCTTTTCCTGGAGGAGTTCCTGCCAACCCTAACTTTACAATAAAAGACAATGAAGGTATGGATGTAGGATGCAAAAAAACACATTTATTTTTTTATTTATTTGCATATTTACAGTCAAGGAAAAACTGGAAATGTCAGGATGTTCATGATTTACAAGACTTTAAAAATATATATATATTTGAAATGAACATGCATTTTTCTAGTTATTTTAACAGGTCTACAATATTTCATCAGCTAGTTGTTTTTTGTGAGTGTAGTCTCTATAAAACGATATTTAAAAAATCCTTGTCTGGTAATCACAAACAACTGGAAAAGTCATTGAAATTCGTTAGTCAAAATGTGTGGGAATCCTAATGGGCTTGTGTTAATGTGTGCAGTTTAATATTCTCTTCCATTACGACAAAAGGCACAAAGTAGCATTCAGAAAATGTTCACTGTGCATGCCATTTTCATGCAAGCTATAATAATGAATTCACATATCAATGCTATTTAGGAAATTAAATATGTATTCATTTTTAAGGGGAAAATATGGCTGCAGAAGTCTTCTTATATGATCAATAAACTTCCCTGTTGATGTTGACCAATATTTAGGTTATAATTAAATGTTGACCGCAAGCTTAAGAGAGACGATTAATGACAGTTTAGATGCAGACGGAAGTAAAATCCCTTATGCATGATTAATAGGTGCTGAGAAGTTAAATCAATGAGCTGTAATGGCATTTCTTTCAATAATCAATATCACCATAACACTGGAGTTGTTTATTGCTCTTGCGCTATTTCTTCTTGTTCAGTGTTTGTTTTGGGCGTATGTGTGACATGAAGAATATAGGTTTGTTTTCATTCATTGTCATTGGTTTAAGTCAACATGCAGTCAACCTTTTCACTTTCCAACTGTGTTTGGGTCAATTATTCACCAGTTTTAAACCCTGCATTAACAAACCTATTGTGGTTTGTCAGTTTTAGCTGGTCTTCCAGTCTGGTCAAGCTAAAAAAAAGTACCCAAAACACCTCTAAACCAGCCAACAGACCAGAAAACCAGTTTATGCTAATTGCTAAATGTGTTTTTCAGCATCAGTTGTTCATTTAGACCCTCAACGAAGTGGCACCTTTATTCTTCCCTGTGGCAGTATTACTTCTTGTGAGTCTGTGGCTCCTTGGGTGAACTTTGAAGTGACTGGTGAAGTTTTTGTACTCTTCCAGCCACCGCATTTCCAAAATACAGCTCAAGCATGGTCGGCATGATTTATTTCCCTCATCGCTGTCCCTAGCTGTCAAAGAGCACCGGTATTCCTTTAGAGGGATTATGGGTCTAACCTCGCACAGTAGTTCAGCCCTGTTGCTGTCGAATGAATTACCAGCTCCCTAAACTCCTGAACCGACGGCCTTAATGCAATACTCACACAGATGGCTGCGGGCTGGAGGTTACCATGGAGACCGCTCTTATCCGAGGTGTGCTGCTCCTGGGTCCAAATCTGGACCCTGAAACCAGTAGGGGATTGAAGAAAGGATGGGGAAAAGGTGTTAGAAATCAGTTTCTGAAGGATATTTGATTCAGTTTTTCTTAAAGTTCATATTTATTTTAATTAGGGTTGTCAATTTAATTAATGAGAGCAAGCAAAATTCATAAGTTCAAAAGCAGCTAATTGGAGGAAACATACGCAATATATGTATTTTTCAAAGCTGTACTTCTTTTAACTTGACACAGCTTCTTAAAAAGACAATGCTCATGGCGTAAGCTGCTGAAAAACAATGAGACTTGATAAAAGAAGCCAAAAATGTCACTTTGAAGCATTTGTACAATAATTAAAATTTTGCAGACAGATTACAAGAACACATCCAGATAGACCTGATTACAAAATGAACTGATATTAAACATTATATCAAATAAAACACAATATATTGAATTTTAAAGCTGTTTTTATCCATTCAAAGAGTTTAATTGCCTCGCAAAATCTTGGGGGGATATTGATATACACAATCAATTAATCTAATAAGCGTAGCATATAATTAATTAGATTCATTTTTTTAATTGATTAACAATTAGTCATTTTAATCTGCATGAACAGATGGATGTTTTAGGGGTTGTTATGTAATGTTGTGAAATTTTAGGAAATAAAGAAGTTAAAATCTATTTTAAACTACAGTTTTAAAACTGTTTTTGTCCATTCAAAGAGTTTAATTGCCTGCCAAAATAATATTTGTTTTGGGACTTTTCTTAGCAAATATATATATATATATATATAAACAATCAATTAATCTAATGAGCATAGCATATAAATGGATTCATTTTCGATTAACAATTTATAATTTTAATCTGCATGAACAGATGTATGTTTTAGGGGTAGTGGGTAATACTGTTATGTAATATTTGGAAATAAAGAAGTGAAAATGTATTTTAAACAACAATTTGATATCAATATCAATAAAGCTGTTTTCTCCATTCAAATAGTGTAGTTGCCTGCCAAAATATCTCCATTCTTAGCGTACCTTGATATACACAATCAATTAATTTATTCAGCATATTGTGTAATTAATTGGATGCATTTTTTTATTATTATTATTTGAATCTACATTAACTATTAAAAACAGATGGATCTTTTAAGGGGTAGAAAGTGATAATGCAATGTGGTTTTAAGAAAATTCTCTAATTAGAGTGCAAATGTTGCTACTTTTAAAAGTAATTGCTGGTAAAGTTTTATCCCATGTCTAAAGATCAGTAGGGGAAAAACAGAAGAGAGGCAGATCGATGTTATATTGGTAGACAGAATGACTTAGATAGTATCGTGAGTTCCATTCCTTTCCTATCGAGATGACTGCAGTATGGAGTTTACTTCATTTATCCAAGTGGTACTCAGTGCAAATCTCACTCTCTTTGTCTACTTCTCACATGGTTTCTCGCTCTTTAATCTCTCTCCACTGGGACATGCCACTGTTTACTGGTCTAAGAATTATCAGCTCTTGCCACGGGTGGTCGATGTCGTGTGCGCTGCTCTTATTGTGTCTGTAGAGAGACTGCGAGTAAGTGAAGCCCCCTTGTCTACAAAGACCCAAAGTGCTTCAAATTTAGTAATAATACCACTTTCCCATCTTTACAAGTGCTGTAAAAGAGCAAATGGGTCTTTATGGAGGTACTTTAGCTCTTTGTCTCTAAATGGCTGCTTTGTGGTGAAAAGTAAGCAAATTTTAACACGGTGCCTTACTTTTGCACCTTTGATTTTTTAAGGCATTCAATGGAATTACCCAAGCGCTGCAAAATAAATATAATTTCCCTCCATCTCCATTTCTGGATTTATAGGTGCAAATTTATTTGGTACGCAGTGAAGGGGAGGCTAAATGGACTAAATTATTGTCTGTTCACGTTTTGCTTTATGAACACTGTCTCTATGTGAATAACAATGTAAGACGGAGGGCCCCAGAGCACAAAGCCTCCTTGCACGGATATTCAGTTTGATTATATTCTCTAGTCAATTGCGCTTTGTAGTGGAGCCGAGGGTAATTAGAAAAGTAATATTCATGAGCGAGCTTATGAATGGCATGGTCAAAAACATGCTGAAGGCATGCAAACATGAAATCTCAGAATCATTGGCATGCTAATCAGATCCACCTATGCACACATATACACTCAAACACCATCTTAAAGGAACAGTACACCCAAAACTTGTCTTTATTTATTTGTCTACACATGCACATAAATAAATAAACAAATGACAAGATTTGGGTGAATAACTATATATAGTCAATATATTTGTCAGTAATTTTGAGAAAATATATATGCTTCTTTAAAAATGTTAAGAATTTTAAAGCATATACCTTAATTTTTATTCTACAGAATAATGCAAATGAGTTTGGAACAATATGAGGGTGAATAATACATAAAAGAGACTTTTAACTTCTCTTTAAGTGGAAATCTCTACCAAAAAATCCCCAAAATAATTGTACGTTTTCTTTTTTTTTCCCACACACCTCATTTCTCACTCCCATCTGCTATTGTTAGGTGTCTCTCTTTCTCTCACTCTCTGTCTATCCCTCCTGTTTCCCATCTGTCTCTGAAAGGCTCTCATCCTATTTCCATCAGCTTTCTACGCCTGTATCTTTAGGCCTTTAAGGAGACATGATTCTGTTGTCTGATTCTGCCTTGTTTTAATATGCAGTCAGCGTCTGAGAAGGCTCTTCTTATATTGGGTGTCAGTCGGTTGGTGGGCGTCTGGACAGGAAACCAGATAGACTGTAAACCAAGAGGTAACAGGAGAAATGAGTCATTATCCAGTAATTATGATCATTATTATGGTGATAAACATGATAAGGCCACTTCATAAGAGGAGGATGATGATGGTAATGCAATACAGTCTGAAGATAACATAATGAGTAATAAGTGACCAGATGACCATGATGAAATATGTGGACAGGATATCTTTTCAATATAGTGCAAGTAAAAAGAGGAGGAGTCTAGAGGTGGTTCATAAGGCTCATATGATAGCTTTGTGTGAGAAACAAACAGAAATATAAGCCATCTTTCTCTTTTAACCTCAACATCTGGCCTAGTTTCTGTTGGTGCTTTTATAAAAGCTTGAAAGAGTAGCGATGTGTGATTCATGATCTTTATTTTGAGTTGAATCATTACAGTGAATCAGTTCACAAACCCAAACGATTCAGACTCAATTTAGTCATGTAGATTATTTATGAATAACAACTTAAATTCTTCAGTGTAATGTAATGATTGTAATTACTTTCTGTTAGTTCACCTGATGACTACTGTGGGATCGAGTAGCTTCTGTTTGGTTAAACTGCAGTTTTTAAGTATCTTAATCTAGGGAACTCATATTAATGTTAAAAAACCTCATAAAGTGAAATTTTCATGCCATGGGACCTTTAATGACCGTGATATTTATCAGTATGGAAATGAAGGCCGGTGGTCTGGATTACATCATGAGTGGTGCTTGAAGAAAAGAGCTCGGGGCATTTCTCGGTCTCCTCTCTCTCTCATTCACACATATATTGTTTGCCTTAGCTCTAGATTCTCAGGCAAACAGCAGGATCTTCAGGCTGCCCACACCG